AAAATCACTGATCAAGATAGTGAGGTTGTACTTCTAGTAGCAGTAATGGTTATAACGGCAATAAATTAACAAAGCTTTCAAGTAAGTATGCGATTTAAAGGGACCATAACACTATAACATAGCTACCTTATAATGCTTAAAATACAGACCAGAAACCAGGGTTACATTGCATGAGTAATTCCCACCAGTAATTCAGTCAAGAAAGCATAATATTATGCTTAACTTATATGCGTCACAATTAATGTCACATTTAAAACAATAATAATAATAAATAAAATTGAACTGTAAGAACACTGTGAAACCGAGCATAAATTATATACTTCTGTTGAAAACCATGTCATAATTCAAACTATGCACTTCGAGAAAACCAGTTCAGTTTCTCAAACTCATTATGTACATGAGTCAACAGTTAGATTGTAGATCTCTGTAATAATTCAAAGGTAGTTCTGATGAAACAATCACATTCTACTAAGATTCTTGTGAAAACACATAGCTGTATTCCAATTCATCTTTCTTCTACCAACAGACAGTAACTTTTCTCCTCATAAGTAAATGTAAGAATATTCAAGGGGGTGACAACCATATTGAATATGAAGCCCATAGGACAACTTGAAAGCCGATATAATGAACGACCTCCACCGAAATCTACCGACAAACTAGCTCAAAACAATGACTTTGAAACTGATGTTAAGGTTGTTTTGACTAGCATCATAATGTGAGAGGCATGCAAGCAGGCTATAGGCCACTTCAACAAAAGCCAAACAGCGCATCAACCAAGCTTCACAAGTAATAGTATTTAACAAACAGCATTTCACTCTAAATCAGCAACACCCTTCTTAAAACTAAGTACCTTCGGGAGTAACAAAAATAAGGTCATCTATATTGTCGACACTGGTAATGGCAATAAATTCTTTTGAGCATATGATAGACATAAGGTTTTTTAAGCATTGTATCGGATTTTTAATGTTGCAGCAACTGGGCTTTCCGATATACCCATTCACATCAACCAGGAAGTAAACATTACAGAGACCTAAAGACACTTCATGCACATTTCAGTTCATGTCTAACTCATGTATACTTAATGTGATTGCAAAAGAGAGGCAAAATACGCATAACAATCACAATATGTCTAATGCAAAATTTTGCTTAGACTGAATCAAGTTTGATCTGTGCAAAACTTGGATTGTTATAAAGCATATCTTATGTGAGAAATCTCTCATATAAAAACCCAGAAAAATATTTGCGTACATCTGATTTAATTCCAAGCTCTTCAGATCTACTGAAGAAACCCCAATTAATGCACCAAATCTAGAGGCACCAACCAAATTGCAAAAGCTTAAATCTTTTATTACTTAAAACCAACAAACCTTGACCCTCCATTCAACCAAGCCTAACACATGCATTTACAAAGAGTTTCTATGTCTCATGATCATCAGCTAAAAGTTTCAAACCAGATAAAAACTCAAGAAATTGAGCAAGACACAGATCACAAAGCAGCAGAAACATGAAGAAAAAAGCAAGAAAGCTGACCAACCTTTCTTGACCAGCAGTGTCCCAAATCTGGGCCTTGATGACTTTTCCATCGACATCCAAGCTCCGGGTGGCGAACTCAACGCCGATGGTGGACTTGGACTCGAGGCTGAACTCGTTCCTGGTGAACCTGGAGAGCAAGTTGGACTTGCCCACGCCCGAGTCTCCGATCAGCACCACCTTGAAGAGATAATCATAGTCATCTTCAGCTCTGTACCCAGCCATTGCAACACAGACAAAGCTACGTTCTTTCGGCTTCCAAGAAGAAGCTGAAGAGAAAAATGGTGATCTTGTTCTTTAGATCTCTTCCCCTATTTTGTTTCTCTCTGAAAATTTGTTTGCTTGAAAGTTTTCGGTGTTTCTTTTTTCAACCTTTCGGCTTTTCGGAGGCGTGTGAGACCTGTGAAAGACTGCTGTCTGCAAAGAAGAGGGGGTGGCGTGGAGATGTCTTTTGGTGAACTTCAAATGACATTCGTGCCCTTGTTGGAGCCATTTGGATTAAAATGGAGAGGTTAAAAAACATGAGGGTGTTTTTGACAGTTTGAGATATGATTCATTTTCCAATCTCGGGTTTTCTCATTTCTGGTCTTGGGCTAAACTATTTAGTGGCCTTTATGTGACCAAAAAAACTGATTTAAGAATAAAATTATGAATGATAACGTTCGGTGGTCCTTGTTGATCAAAACGTTCGGTGGTCCTTAAATCTTAATGAATGATAATAAATTTAGTGAAGTAAGAAAGAAGGAGTGAATTTAGCGGATTCTGAGTGAGATATTAAGAATTTCCTTTTATTTTTATTTATTTATAGTTAGGTTAGTTGACTAAAACAGTATATCTGCTATTTGTAACTAAGTTCGAATCGAATCATCCTCCTCATAATTATTGCTTCGTATAAGAAAATTTGTTATATGTTTTTTTGGTTTGAAGCTTGTATTTTATTGTCTTTCCAGCTGCTCAATGAGAAAACCTTAAAGAAAAACACATACAGCCCTTTTTGGAGGTCCGCGGTCACTCTCCCTACTCAATCCATTTTTCTCTTATTCTCTATGGATTCTTTGTTTTTTGTTTTGTTTTGTTTTGTGATGATGTAGAAGCCGTTGGTGTGTAACGTTGTCATTACCATGATGTAGTTGTCGTCTTTTGGCCCACACATGCAAGGATTTGGCTCCAGTTGTCAGTATTCGATATAGATTTGGAGCTACAAAGTTGGGATGATGTGATGTCGGGTTGCGTCGAGTTCGGGTTTAGCCGATGCAGTATTATAGGTTTAGACGGTATGACACTATGACTCTCTTTGGGTTGCCTGAGAGGATGTGGAATGGTGGTCTTGTTTCTTAGTTTGTTTTAGTTTAACATTCTCATGAACTCTTTAGGAGTTTGATGTGGTTTGTTTTTTTGTTTAGGATATTTTATTTCCTTTTGACTTTTGGTTTTCGATGCAAATTTGCCATTTACGTCATTGACAAATTTTTATTGCAGGTTTTGAGTACTATGCTTATGGTTGCTAATTATGAAATTTTAATCATTTTTTGGGTTGTGCGTATTCTCTTCATATCAATTCAACTTGTTGTTGCATTTAGCCGCTAAAGAAGTTGTATGCACTTTAATTGCTTTGTACTTTTTTTTGTTTATCTTATCAATAAAATATTATCGCTCTTTTATCAAATTTTTTTTGAGAAACGGAGTATAAACAATCCATCAACCACAACTTGTTCAAGAACATGAACTTCTCAGTTCTTGCCTAACACCACTGAATGAAACTCCTCACATTTGTAACATGCACTAATAATAAATACAAGTATTAACTTCCCAATCCGAACACAAAGACCACCACAGCTTAGCCTTTCATTGGCAACAACAACATGTACCTTTTTCTTATAGCAAGTGGCATCTACCCATGTATAATTAATTGGATTTTCGGTCCCTCAATTTGTTGTCTATTGGTTGATTTTTTATATATTTTATATTATGGCTACATCTTCTTATAATAAGACCTTTTGATAAAAACATATATCATGTTCACTGCAATTGGTTTATGATTTCCACTCATGGTAAATATCACAGCCCATGTTAGCTCTTAATTAACATTCGATAAGCATCATTTCTGGCAATCATGAAGGATGACAAAAAGTTTGAAACAAGTTGGGGGAAAAGCATGTTTGAGATAATTAAACGACCAATCCACCCATCATGTGTATGTCTCCCAAAAAAAAAAAGGAAACTGAAGGCACCACCATTGGCGTTTTATCCACATAATAAAACTCACTTCCAAATACCAACAGAAAACAAACTGAGTTGACATACATGATTTGTTACAATAAGTCAACAGAGTTCAATCTTCTTTCTTTTTCTCCTTGGGCCCTTTGGATTTTCATCTTTTTCATTGGAGCAAAAAGCAGATTGACATCCCAGGAGGTGTAAAAGTTGTTTTACACCCTGAAAATACACCCTACCATTGTGGATGTTCTTCTAACTCTAATGTTCTGCTTCCCATCAGTTTCTTATTCTTAGAGTGGATAATATACAGTAATCTTGATGCAGGAAGATGGTGGATAAGTAGGTAAATGCAGTCCACAGATTTTGCACTAGGGATCTGATCAATTTCATTTCTGACACATAAGGCCCCAATCAGATTCGCAGAAAAATTCGGAAAAGTACTTTTCAGATTCTTAGCAAGTACTGTTTCCTGCTTTCTTTCAAAAGCTTAACGGAGATAATCAGGAATGGTATTATATATGCTACATAAACACAATTGCTTTTGCCTTAATGCACCCCCACATTTTAATTAAAGATCTTTCTCACAAACCAAAAGATTCCCCAACAAAACATGAATTATACAAAACATTGAGAAATTAGTTGGAGCTTCCCATGAAGTTGCGTCACCATGTCCATGCATTATGCCCCAATTCAAATTTTCTTAATTGATGTGGTACTAATCATTTTATATTTAAGCAGCTGTGATGTCAACTCTCTCTCTCTCTCCATAACTCTAAAGTTTATTAAACTTTTCAAAGTTCCAATGACTCTTTAGCTGAAAAATTAGTTGGAGTGTCCCATGAAGTAGACCCACAAATTATTTTGTGTCACCATGTCCATGCATTATGCCCTAATTCAAATTTTCTTAGTTGATGTGGTACCCTAATTCAAATTTTCTTAATTGATGTGATACCCTAATTCAAATTTTCTTAATTGATGTGGTACTAATCATTTTATATATAAGTAGCTGTGATGTCAACTCTCTCTCTCTCCATAACTCTAAAGTTTATTAAACTTTTCAAAGTTTATTAAACTTTTCAAAGTTCCAATGGCTCTTTAGCTGAAAAATGAGTGCTACCTCAGATTGGAGAAACACATAAAGAATCAAGTATTATGGTAGCCACGACCTCCCTATATGATTGCATACAGCCATACACGTCCTTGTCACAGTTCCTTTTATACACACACATTAAATTTGTCCATTTTCAATCCCACATATGATATATGCCACACCCAACCTTTTTTTGGTTTATCATTATCTTATTCTCTTTTCAGTTCCATCCTTGATTCTAATTTGTCCAAATGTCTGGTTCTGAGTCTGAGGCCTCTTCTTCCTCTTCTCCTTCACCTGGATTGCCTAACGAGTGTCCTCCTCCAACTGCTCCAATGGTGCAATTGGTCCCAAAATCCACTTCTGATCGACTGCTTCAGAAATTCTTTGATGCCGCAGAGTTTGACTTCGATTATGAGCAGAGTGGATTGTGGTCTCCTCCCGTAAAGCGCACCGTGTTCTTGAGCTCACAAGGTAAAATTTTCACTGAGCAAGAAATGCTAGCTAAACTTTCAACTCTAATGGATGCTCCTACTTCAAAACACAAAGCTTGCTGCAGAGTAAGTTGCTAGCTACCTGTTTAATCTGTGTTTGTGTACTTGTTTCTTTCTTCCTTTAAGGATATTTTTATGTATGTTTCCGTGTGATCTTTTGTAGGCGTTCTGGTGCTCTTGAAGGATGCCTTGAAGCCATTCTTACCGTATATTCTTGAGGATTGCAGGTAAAGAAACAAATACTGGGCAACAAGGATGAAGAAACAGAGAACCCCATTTTTAGTTCTCTTCCCCTTTATCATGTAAATGTCCCTTTTTAAAAAAAATTAAGAAAATGAAAAGAATTTTTAGATATAAGAAATATGTTGTCATCGACCCCTTTCGTTCTTTGAGTTTTTGAGCTTGTTCTTGGTCTTTCTTTAATTGCATTTGCAAAACTGAGAAGTTCTGTAATCTCTGCATATGCTCAGTTGTTCAATTAGCTAGTGATTCATTAGTGGAAGCCATTTAGAATTCTCTGTTAGCAGAAGGCAAAAACTGGGTATTGGCTAGCCACAAAGATTTTTACTGCAGGAGGTGTATTATATAAATGATGAAGAAAAAATAGAGCTGGGTTCTGGCACTGGAATTTATAGCCTATGGTAAACTTTTGCAAATGTGTCAGTTTCATGGTGTTTTTATGATGGATCCATGACCAGGCCTGAATTCTGATAATGACTTGGAAACATCAGGACAGGTTCAAACCCCCAAAAAAGAAAAGGGGAAAAATTTGTCATTGCTACTTTTTCTACTAGAAGGAAAATCCCTTAATCTTTCTGTGGAGGAACGTGCATTAATTAACATGCTGTAATTAGTGAGGTCATGCACCATATTTGACAGACTTGTCAGAAACATATCCCAAGATCACAGCTCATTCAGACAGAGACTTGTTGTGGTTCCTCCAATTGCAGTATTTGCATTCAAGAACAAGGGGAACAATGTCATGACCGAGAAGAAAAACTTGCATATTGCCGAGATATCACTGTTTTGCTATCCCCATCCAATCACGTTCCACCATGTGGAATCCTTATCACGCGTGATGGAACGTGATTGGTTGGGGATAGCAAAACAGTGTTATCCCCTTGACATGCAAGTTCTTCTCGAGCTTCACAGACTTCTAAGATTACCTGCTGCAGCTCTGTTTCATGCAAGCTTTGAAGAATTCCACTTGTAAAAACAGATTCTTTGTTTTAGTGTGATAAGGTCAGGAAACTTCAAAGGCAGAGCCTTCATCAAACACAGAGAAAGATAGCTACTTTCAAACTATGCGGCTATTCCCATTCACACCTTTGCATATTGAGTTTTACATCTACAATGTGGGGGTGGTCCTGACATTTTAGGGTCTGAGATGAAAAAAAAAAAAGATGACTTATTGTATATACTTACAATCTCATTCAATATATAATTTTTTAAATAATTAGAAAACATTATAGAAGCTACTCATATGTAGAAAATAAAATAATATCGTACAGCTGAATTGAAAAAAGTTCAAAGTGGGAAGGCTATAGCCTTTTGAAAGTGGGAACCTATTATCTCAGGTAAACCTTTTAAGTAAAGTAAAAATTTTCCTACAGAACCCTATGATCTTGATAGCTTATATATGTTCCTATTGAAGCCTCTGCTTTTCATCTGCAAGGAGTATGTACACCTGCAATGAGAGAGAGAGAGAGAGAGAGAGAGAGAGAGAGAATTAATATATGTTGACAGATTTTCTTCTCATTAGTCATTGCTGATAGAATTAATATCTATAGATGAAAATGGAAGTATATTAAGCTCCATTATACTTACAGAGTTAAGGTTGAAATTAGAGCTCTAAGTATGCATAACATTACACTGGTACATGATCTTGCTCCAGGATTTCCTTTCCTATAATTCCATCTTTCAAAGTTTTAAAGTAAACATTGTAGTCCTTCTCGGGGGGTGGATTTTGAGGGTCCACTGTAAATGGCTCACTAAATGGTACAACACTTTGAACCTGCAAAGTAGTTTATTAGCATCACAGAATCTTCAAAAGCTTTTAACTTCCAAAAAAGCAAATTACAGCCACAGTACACAGCACACAATTAAGGGACATAAGTCAGGCTGTGACCTCAAATGTCTTGCCAGATGCATAGGGGCTTTCCAACGCAGCAACACAAATCTGAGCAACCTCCTCTCTTGATATCTTACCCTGTATATTGCTGGGATCAAAAGAAGAATAAGTATTATGTGACAACTGGGTTGCTAACAAAATGGGAGGAGCTGAAATTTTGAATCTTGGGATGTTGTTGTTGCATTGTATGAGCTGAAATAATATGACAAAATTGTATATTTAAACGGTATATCCTAGCGGCTATACTCCTTGAGTATATTCGAATATTTTAAACATTAGCTGCACGGCTATACTCTTTTAATATATTCGACTAGCCGACCGGCTATACTATTTGAAAATATTCGAATATTTAAAGAGTATAGCCGGGCGGCTATACCTCTTGAATATATTCGATTATTTTAAAGGTATAGCCGACTGGCTATCCTCTTTTAATGTGTTCGAATATTTTAACCGTATAGCTGCCCGGCTGTACGCTTTTAAAATATTCGAATATATTAAAAGCATATAGCCGCGCGACTATACCGTTAAAATATTCGAATATTTAAACAGTATAGCCGCGCGGCCATACCGCTTTAATATATTCGAATATTTTAACAGTATAGCCGCGCAGCTGCACTCTTTTAATATGTTCGAATATTTTTACAGTCTAGCCGCACGGCTATACGCTTTTAAAATAGCCAAATATATATACTCTTTTAATATATTCGAATATTTTAACAGTATAGCCGCGCGGCTACACGCTTTTAAAATATTCGAATATATATATATACTCTTTTAATATATTCGAATATTTTAACAGTAGGGCCGCGCGGCGATACTCTTTTAATATATTCGAATATTTTAACAGTACAGCCGTGCGGCTGTACGCTTTAAAAATATTAGAACATTTTAACATTACAGCTAGCCGGCTATACGCTTTAAATATATTCGAATATTTTAATAGTATAGCCGCCCGGCTATACGCTTTTGCAATCACAGAGGAATGTGGTCTGCAAGTGAAATAAAGGGACAGGGAAACGAACACGAAGCTTGCACTCGCAGACTCACAGTCACAGCAATTTCGCTTCTCTATAAGCCCTTCCAAGCTTCAAAGACTTGGTCTTCAGCCTCTCTATCAACTCAAGGTTCGATTTTTTTTCTTCGGTTTTGGCTGCGGCGTTGATTCGATTGGATTGGGCTCTCTCAATGTCTGCCAAAGCAGAGCCTTCGTCCTCCGGGTTTGGCACCGACGTGCCTAGTGACGTGGACGACTACATTTCGGTGAGTGTGGTTTCTCTTGTTTGGTTGCTGAGAAAATGTGGGGAAACCAGGAAGAAATTGAGTAATTTGTTTAACGGAAGGAATTATGTTTATTTAACAATTCAAAACATAGATATTAAGTATATATTGTTTAATACCAGCTGGCTATGATATTGGGTTTGTGAATTTCTAAAATGTTATATTATTTTATCTTTTGTGTGGTATTCTACAGCAATCCTCTTCAGAATTTAGAGAGAATACAAGCTAATTTCACAGGGAGGAGAAGCCATAGAAAAGCATAACGCAGTGATGACTTTGTTTCATGCCTATTTCAGTCAATGGATTGAGGTGAGTGTTTTGTTGTTACTGATTCCATTTAATTCTTCTAATCCTTTTTTTGTCCTTGACTTGTGTTAATTTTCCTAGGTAACAAATGTCCTTTGTGCCCTACACTTCTTTTCATTAGTACTAGAACATGTGCAATAATATTTTAGGTTTGTCAGCATGATATGTGCTTTCTAATTTTTTGTGCTTAATTAGTGTTATAGCTTTCAGAGTTTACCAAGATTGTTTGCTTTAGTTCTGTGGTCTACCTTCAATATCTTCTTTTTGTTTTTGCCAGTGTGACACTTAACGACATTACACAAAAGAACTTCCCAGAGGAATTTGCAGAAAGGAAGTTGCTGAATGATACAATGACAAACTTTGGTTTTGATTTGATGCCACTTTTTGTAATGGATGGTGTGCTCCCATTTCACAAGTTTCCACTACACATTTTTGAACCTCGGTATAGACTTATGGTAAGTTGGTTAGCAGTTTATATTTTTCACATATGACATTCATAAAATATTTAAACGTACAAATGCATTTGCTGCAAAAGAACTATGTTGACAAACTTATTTGGCAAGTTTTGTATACCTACTTGGTACATTTCTACAGTCCATGTGATCCATATGTTGTGTTGTTTTTGTTGAATATTCATAGATTTTTCTTGTACCTTGTCACTTAAACAAAAGGTAAGGAGGATAATGGAAGGCAACCGTCGGATGGGAATGGTAGATTATTGTCACTAGTCCTTTTCTTTCCCTTTTAACTTTCTTAAGGTATATAAAGTTAGACCCAAAGTATAAGTTTCACCAAGTGCGGGATTAGGCAAGGTGATCCGCTATCACCCTATTTGTTTGTGCTTTGTATTGAAAAATTAGCTCATATTGTGATGGATGCTGTGAATAGTAAAAGATGGAATCCTGTGAAACCTTCGCAGTCTGGCCCCGCTATTTCCCACCTGTTTTTTGCAGATGATCTACTTCTTTTCGCTGAAGCTACCCCTAAGCAAGCTCGGGTTATGAAACAATGCTTAGATACTTTCTGCAAAGCCTCAGGTCAGACAGTTAATTTTGAGAAATCCATGATCTATTGCTCTCCTAACACACGCAGTGTTGTGGCTAGTGAAATAAGCTATATTTGTGGATCTCCTCTCACTACAAATTTAGGCAGATACTTGGGCATGCCTCTGCTGCACTCCAGAATAAATAGAACTACTTATCATAGCCTGATCGATAGAGTTAATAAACGGTTAGCAGGATGGAAAAGCAAGTTATTATCTCTAGCTGGGAGGGCCACTTTGATTAAGGCAGTTACGGCATCAATCCCTGTCTATGCTATGCAAACTGTCAAACTCCCTGCAAGCACGTGTGATAGCTTGGACCGCCTAAATCGTAACTTTTTCTGGGGGGGAAGTGGGACAAAACAAAAGACTCACTTATGCCAATGGAACTTAGCTTGCCGCCCCAAGAACAAAGGGGGCCTGGGCTTCAAAAAAACTTCAGATATGAACTAAGCTCTACTGGCTAAAATGGGGTGGAGACTCCATCGAGGGGACCCGGGACTGTGGGCAAAAATTTTTGAAGAAAAATATATGAAGGGCCATTCTATCTTAGAGAACACTCTCCAAGGAAAAAAGGGCTGCTCCTCCACTTGGAGAGGTATTTTACATGGAGCTGAGTTACTCAGGCAAGGTATGATTTGGAGGATAGGTAAAGGGGACAGTGTCCATTTCTGGAATGATAGGTGGATCTCTAACATCCCTCTCATCCAGCATGAAGGTATCGTAAGGCCTGCCCAACTTGATTGTACAGTTTCTGAGTTCATGAAAGACGACTGGTGGGATGTTGATAAGTTGAGAACTATGCTCAGTGAGGATTTGGTCCAAAAGATTGTTAGTTACCCTATTGGTTTTGGTACTAAC